GGGACCATGTCAAAGGCCTTACAGAGGTCCAGATAGATGACAGCTGTAGCCCCCTTCCCATGCACTGATGTAGTCACTCCATCACAGAAGGCCACTAGGTTAGTCAGGCAGGACTTGCCCTTGGTGAAGCCATGCTGGCTGTCTCATCTCTTTGTAGTGGCATTCTTAAACATCTGTAGAATGTACTAATTTTTTTAGTAACTCTTTCATGCTAATCTTTAAAGAGGTTATATCTACTTAACTGTCAGGGTTAATTTCCTAAAATATATTTTTGTGGTCTTCTGTCTTCCTCAACTTACTATCTTGGCAAGTGGGACGCCTAAGAATCATAGCATCTGTCCAAGATAAGGAAACAACACCCTGCTTTTTATAAACAGGGAAATTAGGGCAGAACAATTGGTAAAAAGACCCTAAATAATTCTTTCACAATATATTTTAAATACTTAGTTTTCCTTCTTATTTGCATATGAGAAGAGTCAAACAGAAGAAATTTTGTCTAAACCAACTGTTAAGTCAGTCTTGGATGTGGTCATGAAATTACCTTTCTTAAATGAAGATTTAAAGGATATTGTTTACCTGATAGTAAACATTTACTGATTCTCTTGTTCTTAAGGATTCGTCTTATAAACCTTTCTTTATATTATAATTATTGCCAGTGTTTTCTTAGATTTCTAGATGTCAGCCTGCTCCTGAAGGATACTCTCCAACGCTAAAGTGGCAGCAGCAGCAAGTGGCCAATTTCTCAGCCGTTCGTCAGGTACAAAATGGTGTGTGTGAGGGGACTTGCACTGTCTAGCTAGAACACATCTGTGCTTTACAGGGGACAACTTTATATCTAGTATAGAAATGTTATGACTTTATAGTAGGACAGATGTTTGTAGGCAAATGTTTTAAGTTCTTGAAAAAGAATTGAGTATATACTGTGTGGCGTTTAAACCTCTGATAAAACTCGAGAGCCATGTTTAAAAAAAAATATTCTACTTCAACTTCAGCAAAAATATGTGTCGGTATTTAGATTAAATGATAGAGAGTAGCTGAGGGAGGACAAAAATCCCTATGACATTATGCAGTTATATTAAAACCTAGCGCTAGCAGGAATGTTCTGCAGAACTCAACATTAACTGAAAAACAAGTGGATTCTAACCCACCAGGAGATTCATGTACGTAGAACACGCTGTCCATTTAGGATATTGTTGACAGTGGTGGCACCCATTATGAGGAGAAATACTGATTTGGTAAAATGTATTTGTAAAGTTGTAATGTTAGCACAAACTTAAATCTTTCCTACTGCATTTGCACCCTGCTCTTAAATAACAGAACAAAAATGGAGAATTGAGCAGTCTCTCTCTCTCTCAATCCACAGTCCAAACAGGGCGAAATACAAAACATAGTAAAAATGTAGAGATCATTTATGACTCTAGTACTGCAGAAGGCATGTTTACAATGCATTAATACTGCATTGTAGGAATACCTCAAGTAACTGAAGTAAAACCAACTGCACTGAAGCTGCTGTAGCACTGAACTTCGCATGAGCTCATTTACCCTGTTTTTTCAGGGAGGTAAATCAGTGGAGGTATCACATTGCATACTGTATATTATGCATAATCTAAGGTTTTAGTACAACTAAGGAAACTGACTTCTAAAGGCATATTCACTGGACAGATATTTATTTTATACACAAATCAATTGTCCTCTCATCTGTGCCAGAATTAACACTGTGAAGGATGAGAATATCCTAAAAAATATTTAAGAGAAAAAAGAGCATCAGAAGTCAGTTATTCAAACACTATGCATCAGCTACCGTTACTTAGTGTTTTTAGTGGTCATTTTTACTGCTACAATAACAATTGGATTGGGGGAAAAGTTTCTTCTGTTACAAAAAGTTTACACCTCTGTACAGGAAACTGTCAAGCAGGCCAATTTGTCTTATATGGCATCCCTGTCAGGTAGAAGAAATACACCAGGAAAGCTCGCTTGCCTTCTTTCTAACAGTTCTGTAGACATCGGCTACAGATACAGACCACTGTTGGAAACAGGATATTGATTTAGTCCAAAAGCACACATAAAGCCAAATTTTTCTTGCTTAAGCTTGTTATACCAAGAAAAGTCTAGAAGACTATTACAGCTTACTACCTCAACTTAACTTTATGTAGTAGAATTTAAAATTCCTTCAGCTTTAACATTACTTCCAAAAACCCAGCATGAACAACTTGGTTACATTTCTACTCAGAGGCATGGGAAATACTTAGCCAGTTACGCCTCTACTGATTTATAGAACATCATAATATATACTTTTTATACATTTTAAGAATAATGAAGCAATATCCTAGCAATTATGGCTAGGATAAAATAACTGCAAAGTTAAACTGTGATTTGGCTTTGTTTTAATTACTCAGAGCCTGAACAAGCACAGAAGTCACTGGCGGTCACAACATTTGGACAGCAATGTTACTATGGTGAGTAGAATTCGTAACAGTGCTGTGGTTTTTTTCCAGTCATTAAATCCGTGATTAATCTCGCTTTACAGTTTAATGCAACAACTTGTGAATGTTATCAAGTCTTTTCTTCAGTATCTTCAAGATAGCAATATTTCAGTTTTCATTTATTTTTATTTACTTCAGCCAAAATCAGAGGATGAAGAAGGCTGGAAGAAGTTCTGCCTGGGTGAAAGAGTATACTCAGAAGTAGATGCACTATCTGATAATGAAAGTCTAGGAATTGATTACATAAAGGTGAGTATAGGACTTCTATTTCATTTTCAGCTGCTATTTTCAAGAATAACTGCCAGAAACAATCCTACTGTTTATTACCACTTTGTGCTAAATATGAAGTAGGCTCTCTGGTGAGCCTAGAAAGTCCCATTTTTCTTCCCTTTTAAGTGGAAACTGAGTGAAGCAGAGAACAAGTCTATCCCTTCAGTTAAAAAGTTGAGGAGTTCCTTCATCTGTTATCAGCTAAAGCACGCTACTTTGTTGCTCGCTGAACTGAACAGAAAGCTTTCTGCATAGTCTGCTTTAGTGTTTTGTTGAATGGTCGTACGTGGTTCCTTTCCTCATACATGCTATCCTACAAACATGCCCTTCAGTGCATCATTTTGAAAAAACAAAACTTTAACAAATAACAGTAAAAGCAAGGTTCTTTGACACCAAATTTGACAGGACCTTATCTTGAACTTGCTTGAAGATTTTTTTTTAATAGATTTCAAAGCTCAGAACAGACTTTTGAATCACTACAAATGTCTGAGCATCACATTAAAACGTTAGCATGTTCTAAATTAGAACAAAAATGTTTATCATAATATCTGCACTTTCCAACTTGATTTTTTTTCAGGTGGGCTTTCCCCCTTTGCTAAGTATCGTAAGCAGAATGAATCAGGTAAGCCTACCTCTTAGAATCACATAGTGACATTGCATAAATCATTATTTCTCATATTCTATCTGTTGCAGAAGTCTTACCTATTTTTCTGTGCTAGAGTAGGCAATTGTTCATTACGACTGCTATTGCTTGTACACTTACAAGGAAAACACGTAATCGTTATCTCACCTTTAGCTACAAACAACTTCACTAGTGAACATTTATCATGACTAGTTTTAAGAGTATTTTGTCTTTGTAATTTCTCTATAAAACATTTAATGTTTGAATTTTTGCTGAATGCCCCATTAGGTGCTTGACAGTGTTTTAAGATTTCTTATTTAGTGTTTTAAGTGCAGTCCTTCAACTTGATTGTGAACTCTTAGGCACATTGCAAGGATAGGAGAATCACACTTACCTTTCCTTTGCTACTATGTTTCCCACTAGTCACCTTTATACAGAAACAACCAGTCAGTGTGACACCTCTTTCCTAATCTGTAGCTACTTATCCGTAACTTTCTGTTAAGACAGAGAATTACTTCATTTTATATAAAGTTCTTTCCAGGAACTGGTGCTTTAACATTTACTTTACCCTTCTATGTAACTTCAACCTGGATTAAATACCATATAGTATCACAATGGAGTATAAATACATAATGTGTATATTAAAAAAAAAAAAAATCACAATGCTTCTTATATTATATAATCCTTCAGGCAGAAGGACAGCAAAACAAAACATTGCAGGTATTGTATTGTCTCTTTCTGTTCCTCTTTTCAAGGCAACAGTAACCAGTGTCTTAGAATACCTGATAAGCTGGTTTGGAGAGAAAAAATTTACTCCAGAACTGGTAATTTTTAATTTATTCTAACTACTTGCGCATTAATGCATTAAACAAGGGATAAATTGTTCATAGTTTTCTATGAAGTTATTTTGGTTTCTAAAGAGTTCTCTAGATGTATGTATCATATTGTTACTTTCAAAACTTTCTTAATTAGATACTAAAATGAGTATTCACAGAATTTTTTGGAAGGCTAATTACAAAACATAACACATACAGATCTATCAAGTACTGCCAAAACCCCCTCCCCTTTTTATTGCTCCCCACACTAACTTAAACCACAAGGTTAGATGAGTATCAGCGCTGGGGAGAGAAGAGGGTCAGACTGCAGGAGCTTTGGTTCTGACCAGTTTAAGCTGTCAGGGTGCTGCGCACTGTATTTACCGACACCTCCGTTTTAGTTTGGAGATGCATGACAGTGTACTGGCAAAGATACATTTAATCTTTCCACGTGCAGCACAGACCAGAAAGCTTAGCTGCATTAGTGTGGTGACAAATCAAACCTAATAAGAAATTCTGATTGACAGGGTACATTAGCATGGAGTTTGGCGACAACTAGATCGACTACATAATGGCATCGTATCTACAAAAGACCTTGGTGGATGCATCTCACCTCATTCAGTACCACAAAGCAAAAGAATAATGAAAAATTACTTCCATAATACTAAACACAGTTTCACTATTTTTGAGTCACTAAAGGCCTTTCATGTTCTGTCCTTTTCTGTAGGACTGTTTTCTTTTTAACCAATATGCTGCAGAGAACGTGCACGTTGACTTTTAGTTTATTCCCATAACGAAAGCCACTAGACACTGTAATTAACTTAAGAAGTTAGACTGGTAGCAGAAGCTACGTTTGTAAGAATGCAGTAGAATTCAGTGAAGTAAAATGCAAAGGACATGTTTTCACAGTGGTGCAAATCTTAAAGCTGATCTAACAGCATTAATTCCACAAATATCTGACTTGATACATTTCACTCTTCAGGAATGTTTTTCCACAGTTTGTGAAGTGAAAAATTAATAGCTAAGTAATAGTCTTTAGATATTACTAAAATAATCCTTCCCCCAGACTTTTAATAGTGTAAACTGTATTAATTTATATCTTGGCCAGTATTCCAAAAAATATCAGGAAATCCAGGAGTACTGCTCACAAGAAGCTTATCTAGAGGCACAAAATTCTACTGTGTAGTGTCTAATTTGGCTTTCAGACTTTTCCATTCTGGCAGCAGCACTTAAATGCAATTTTGTTTTGAAACCTACGCTCCAGGCCTGCTCTATATAACAAGAGCTGCATGAAACTTCAAGGAAATGCTCATAATTAAGACTTTCGTATTTGAATCCATACAGGGTAGATGGCTTTATGCACTGTTGGCATGCCTTGAAAAACCTTTGCTACCTGAGGCTCACTCCCTTATTCGACAGCTGGCAAGACGATGCTCAGAAGTCAGAGTACTAGAGGTAAGATTTAATATAACATTGCGCAAAGGACTTGCTGAACTTAGCAAATTATTAGGAGGATGATTTTGCAGTTCTTGAAGTCTTGGTAAGTAATTTTTCATGTCCTAAGTTTGCTCGAGAATGAAGGGAAGACTACAAGCACGTAACATGGCATGTAACAGCTTCTCTATTTGACACAGGTAACAAAAGAACTGTTCTAATACTTATTTCTCTTTCAGGAGAACAAGAACGAAGAACAAATATCAGCTCTGAACTTGATAATCTGCTTAGTTAGCAGGTAATACAACTTACGTACCTAAAACAGTAAAGTATGTCCAGAATAAATGTGTGATTATTCTTATCCTAACCTAGATTCTTTTAAAGTGGAAGTCAATTAAAGTACCCTGGGCCCGTGTAGCAAATATACTTAGCTAAAAGGACTTAAGATAAACCTAAGAGTAAAGTAAGCTTATTGGTTTCCTCAGATGAGTTCCCTGAACTGCAAAGCTATAATTATGATAGAAACACTAAAAGAAGAGCTAGAAAGCAAGGGGTCTAACAACTCAGAGCAAAGTAAGAAGTATGTTGCATTAGAGGTTTCTTACCGTATTCCACTTCTCTCTACTAGGTACTTCGATCAGCGTGACTTAGCTGATGAGCCTTCCTAGACTGTTTTGAGGATATCAAGTATCTTGTGTTGCCATAGTACAAACAGCATTATCAGAGTTAACAGCAAGACACTGCACTTTTCAGACCTGAAGTACTATACAACCCCTTCAGAACACCCTCATGATAATGCATTTGGGACAGCTATGAATAACTTAAGCTGAGCTTTAGCAAGAGATTGTCAATGTCTCCAGTATCATCATCACCATCATCGTAAAGTGGTCAATGAAGTGTCTAGCATCATCTCTTAAGATACTGTCTCTGTAAACTACATTCTTGGTTAGAAATTTCTACCATCTGAGTAATCCTGTGGACACTGCTATTAGCTGAAGTCTGAGGTTACATTACAAGTGATTGTTCTTTATCTAACACACACCTATTGAGGGCTTTTTTAGTAAAACTGAAGCATTTAAAAGAGTGTTCTTAAACATCGTGGCTTTTCTCATTCTTCATACTATTTAACAGCAGCCTTACTATACACATCTAGGACTGAATGTGTTTTTTCAAGCTTTGGTTCCTGAGCTTAAGCACTGCTAAGCAGTTCAACTATAGCCAGTAAGTTACTGAAACAATTATTTTAGTAAAACATAAACATCACTACTTCCTGAGTAGTAATACTATTTTTCGTAAACAGTTGCAGAAACCAGTGAAAATTACACAGCTGTATTCAATGCTTTTAATAGAAGCATTTATTAATAAGAACGAACAAATTTATTTTCTGTATGGTATCTTGACAAGTATATTAGCTTGCCTATTTATATATTTAATGTGGAGTGCTTCACCAAGAGTATCAGCATCTGCTTGGTACATACATGACTCCCTCTGGTTCTAATTATCTTCAACAATTAAAAACCCATGTTAAAGGAACTATGAATTCTGCTGATAGCAGCAAATTGACAGACAGTATTAGCTGACATCTACTTTCTGTATATTGTAGAATTTAAGTCCCTCCCCTTGCTATTAAAAATAATCATTAACCAGAACCAGTTATTGATAAGCCTTTAATATGTCTCTGAATGATTGGCACTTTTGCATCTGGAATGGTAGTCTTAACTATCAAGTGAAAAATCAAAGCGAATTACAATAAATGCTAGAGTTTTAATTCTGGAGATGCGAGGAACGATGATTCTGTGTATGCTGATACTGAATGTCTACCACACTGCAGATGCCTAAAGTGTGATGACATTGAAGTGTGTATTAGACATACAGTGCAAGTTACTTCTAGTCTCTTTAGTAACATTTTCAGCATGTTGAAAGTAGGATGAGTTGGCAACTGAAGAACCCATGAAATGCAAGAATACTAGTTAACTAATTCTCTAGCCCTAAAATTTCAAACAAATCTGAGTTATAAAGGTGAACAACAACCACAGCCTTCCTCTAAACTACCAGTATAAGAACCCAGCGTTTTCAATCAGTCAAACAGCTGATCCCCAGCGAGTACCATACTACTGTAGTTACTTTCATCTTTGCTAGTTCTATAAACAGTGGGACAGCATTCTGCTAGTTTAAGTTCTGCTTTAGATGTTTCCTCGAACCGTCAAGTTACTCAGCTACAACTAATCTGAACTAGCATTCACAGTACCTGAAAAGATCAGAATTTGGTCACATCTTAAGCTCAAGTATAATAAACCCCTGGTTATCACATTTATAATCCATAGCTTGCCAGCTTGTAACAGCTATCTAGAAAAGGCTCAATCCATTACAAACTTCAGACCTTCCCTAGAGCTTAGGGAAGAATAGCTTCCACTGTTCTTGCCCACCATACAGCTAGACAACATACACTTCTCCCAACACAGAAGGTAGTTATAACAATCAAAGGTGCTATTTTAACATGTTAGCTTTTCTAGTTAGCCTGTTATTTACTGGTCTCAAAGTAGAAACTGAATTGCTATCACAAGGCATTCTCACACTTCTGAATAAACACCGTAAGTTTCTATCGTGATTCATTTGAAAGTATAAGGCCTGAACCTGACAACAGAAGAGTCTTACAGCAAAATTCATTAAAAGTTTTAACAAGATGTTTTCATGCTTACCTACAGCAAGATATGTATTGTTATGCAAATCTTGTAACAAGTAGTATCTAGCAAACCCCAATGTCCTCAAAGAGTCTTGGTGATGTCTTTATAGCTTCTTGCAGGCCTAATCATCTTCCTGCACACACTCATTACAGAAGTGAGTTGTAGCTAGCAATTAAAAACAATTACATTAATATGGAGTTTATGCACAACAAGCTAAAACAAATTTCCTTCTTTCACCAGTATAGATGACCTTAGCTGTACAATTATTCTGACACAAAAAACAGCTGCTAATTTTAGGGAGCTAGGAGAAACTGTTTAACTATATAGAAATAAGTTCTCTTTTCTACTGCCCCATAGCATTCCTACAGAGGAACTAAGCCTCCACTGAACACCATTAATGAAGGCTGTTGGTTCACGTGCTAATGGCTTCCTCAGAATAAAAGCAATTGCTGTCTCACAGTTCAGAGTGAACAGGGAAAGGCAGCAGTTGACCATTCATGTTAGGTAACACAAAACACGTTAGTTTCTTACCCCAATTTAGTCTTGGTCAGGCTTTTACTCTGGTCTCAAAACGTGCCTCTGGTCTTCCATATGTGCTGTTTCGGTAATTGAAATATTTCACTAAAAACTTTTGAGTAGACAGTTTTTACCATGTGGACGTTAATACCTTGGTATAGAATAAATTTCATACCAAGATACAAGGATAGTGTTAAGTTATTTTGATGAACATTTATTATATATTTTGGAATTGTGCTGCACACTGCTATAATTTACAAGCTACATACAAAGCTGAACCAAGATACTGAACCCACACACAAAGGATTTTTAAGGTAGATACCCAGATTTGAATGTGCTCTACATCTTCTGTATCATCACCTGAAATTTACCTGCAAAGAAAAAGCAAAGTCAGATCAAAGTATCACCATTAGAGTTATTTTTCCAAGTAATTATTTTCTTGTAATCGTTTTGTTAAAAGAAATAGTAAGGAACATTTCAATCTTACAGTTTGTGAAAAATCTAGCCATTATTTAAATTTAGCATTTAAATTTAACTCCAGCTGAACAGTTTTTCCTTTCTTTTCTTTTTTTCTTTAAGTTGATCCATGACCCACATCACAACAGTTTTGTCAGCTAAATTTAAGATTTGTGCAAAGTCTGTGGAAATTTTTAAATCCCCCTTAAGCAGCTTGGGTAGTTACAATGGACTTCACTTACTAACGTTAATGACTTCTGTAGAGAAAGAGCGTGTATCTAGTTGGTTTTATCTTTGCTCGTTCAAATAGCATTCTGGACGTACATCCTTATGCATTTGATGCTTCCAAATGTAAATACAACTTTTTAGTTTTGCTTTCCGCTCAGTATCATGGAGGTTCACCCTCTGTCAGTATTTTCTAAACACTAAAGCATTTAGTGACAAGCCATATCCTGAAGTTCGTACCAGCTCCTATGGCTCAGCAGCTTAAGACTAATTCCACCTTGATAAATGTTTCTACAGTGATGAAGTCAGTAAGGAAAGTTACCAAGTGAGCTAATAATTGAATACTCCAAGAACTACTTACATGCAGGCATTGATGAAACTTCAGCTGTTACAATACTCTTTATTCCCAAATTCGATAGGCCTCCTCTGATTAGTCCACAGGTAAATGCTAAATACTAAATATAAAGTTGCACTTTAAATAAGCGTCAAGGGTGAAGCTTGTTGCTAAAGATTGAAACTAAGTACTCAAGAACAAGACTTAACACTTGGACAATATAAAACTATGGAGGTTTTGTTAGCGTGCTTGAGAGACTTTGTCATATCTCCAATAGATGAAAGCTCCGGTATTTGGTACAGCGGAGCTCACAATACAGATTTCTTGTTAGAGGCACTATCTTGAGTCACTTGTTTCTATTTTCATTAAACCTGTAGGAACTTAATATCCTTAAAACAATTATTCCCAAGACTTGGCTGAAATTAGCAACTGGTATTAAAAGTCAGTGAAGGAGAAACAGTCCAAGACAGCATTCTTGCACAGGCCGCACCTTAGAATACAAGGGCCTGCAGATATTTAGAATATATGTTGCAAAACAGAAGAAACATCTCACCAAACACCAAAAAAAAAAAATCACAAGGACAGTAGTCTGCAACTGCGATGACTAAGAAGATCAAGAATTAAGAAACCAAAAATGGAACTGAATGCCCCATTTCTTACATCCACCTGAACCAAAGTGCTTTATAAGAGGCTCTGCAGAGGCACTGATTTTACTTACCTAAACTATTACCCTAACTCAGCACCTACACTCAAAACTATTTAATTGGTGGAAGATCTTTCTGAATGTTCATATAATCCCAGAAGCTTGTTCTAGGTAACAAATAGCATCTTCCAAATATGTTTTGGAAATTTTAAAAAAGCTTCTGAAAGCACATGCTTTTCAAAGAGAAAGAAAGAATTTGTGTGGTAGTGGCAGACCGGCTCCTACCATCAAGTAACTCAAACATGACAACAGCAAGTTTCACAACAACTACGACCATTTCTTGAACCATAAATCAAATCCACTGTTTTGAAACAAGGTGCATTTCTAAAAAGTACAGGTTTTGAAGACTGAACTTTAGCTGCCCTTTTGAACAGTTTGTATCCATTCAATTACAAAATTTAAAGTTATTATTAATAGATCAAGATAATTCAAATCAAACTGGTAGATCCCAAGGATAAAACTGAAGGGTACCTTTGGTGCATGTTCTAAATACTGCTTTCCTGCAGACATTTGTGTCAAGAGACGAAATTTATTGTCTTGAAGGACATAAATACCCTGTTTAAAAGAAAAAAAAGAAATTTTTTTAGTTGAATATGCAGTAGCATGTAATCAACGTTTTATGTGAAGGGATTTAATTTGTAGATACAATACAAATGTTCAGGTTGAAAAATGAAATTTTAGACTAAAGCATACGTGATTTAAGTTTAAACTGTATTATTTGCTTACGTGAAATATCAAAACAAAAGATACTTAATTGTGAGTTTACAACAAACCCCCTAGAAAATAGTATGATCAGTTAACCCTAAAAAATGTTTATTTACTTTCTTCTTGGAAGAGTCCTCCCAGTGCTCAGAAACAATAGTTCCATATTAGAAGGTCTTTGTTAATATATCAAATGCATGCTGACTTTTACATTCAAATCTTAATCTTCATTTGGTATGCAATTCACTATTCTTATTCTCAAATTCAGTGAGAATTATCTTCTTTAACAGCAATACAGGTAACAATACCCAGCAGATGATCAAATTAAAAGTCTAGTGTTTTCTACATTACAATTTTGTGCCACAATATGCATTTTAATAAATTAAGTATGAACACAGTATAGCTTAATCTACCCTTGTCATGTTAATTTCTTTGCTAATGACTGTGCTACTTTGGAACTTCATAACCCTTGAAATTAAATTAAGGCTGCATATACAATTGAGACCTAAGCTCAATACTGCAGCTTTCTTTGAATTCAAAAACAGATTTCGAAGGTAATTATTATCTGTTAAAGTTGTTACTTGATAAACAGCTCACTGAAAAATAAAACCTGTTTTATTTGGCACAATCCTTGTACAAATTCTCTTGCTCCTACTTTGATACAACAGGAAAATGGCCATAAGAAAACAGAGTCATTCAAAAGGAAAAAGATTCTTTTACTCTAGTAAAATGACTCCTTAAATTATTTTGATCTTGCTTTAAGAACTGTGGCTGTTGATATAGGAAAGGACATAGATACAACGCAGTGTCACCAACATGCAAACCTGGGAAGTTTTTCAGCTGTTTCTTATACAAGTATACTTATACAAGTTATACTTATACAAGTATACTTATACAAGTAGAGTGCAATTAAGTGTCTCAACTGCTGAAAACTGTAAATATCCTTAAAAATAAAAAAATTACTTCAAGGCAGCCATTCTATTTAAATAGACGTTAAGACAGCAATATCACTTTCTCACACTAGTTTTCTACTAAAATTTATTGGGACATACATTAAAAAGTTCCTGTTTAAGTGTTAATCAACTGTAACCATTACTGTCCTGTCAGTTTGTAACTCTGCAACAGTGCATATGAAATTCAAAGCATTTAATCTTTTCAAATAGGGTGGCAATAAAGACATCACAAGCAATTATTAAATTGTATTCTGAAGCTACATGCTAACATGAACCTTAAAAACCTGCTTTTTAAACAAAACAAATAAAGAACATTTTGGGTTTCTTATCAGGTAATTAATTCTAGACCAAGAAAAACAAAAAATGCGCTAGTAACTCAAAACTGTTACTGATTTTGTAAGTTAAATATTATTCTACAGCATTAGTACCTGATGATTAGTCCTTAGGTTATCTATTTGTTTTTTGAATACAGTTGTCCAAAAATCTTTGCAAATGAACTTCATAATATCTAATTCATCCTTGAACCTGGCAGTATCTTTTGTAAACCTAAGAGATAAATAAGAAATATATCAATAATGCACAACTTGACCGATTAAACAGAAAAAGAAAATACAAAAAAATGGTACTATTCAACATTATTTTTGAAGCTGTTATAGAAATTAGCTTTCCAACCATTGTACAGTATCATTCTAGCATCACTGTGCGTTCATCAAGTATTTTAACTTAAGAGCAACACAGCGTTATCTTAATACCTGCAACATGACAGCAGAATAAATGGTTTTAATTATATGGTTATTAAAGACAGCTGAAGTACAGAAAGATGCAAAGCACTCGATCAGTTTTATCTTCAACTAAATGTCTAAATAGAAGATAAACAAAAAGCTCACACCTATACTACTGCTTGGAAGGAGTCCTTCAAATAAGCAAAAAAAGTACTAACACATAGGAACAAACATGTAAAACTCGTTCCCGTTTCCCAAAAAAGGACGTCTCTTGCTTATTTCAGAATTCTCTCCCTTTATCCTCCTTGAGGGTCTTTATCTGGCACTAAAGCACCACTTTGTTCAACGAAAGCATGGCTTCAGAAGCTGGAGAGCCTCCACGCGACCTCAGAACGAGGGCGCTGAAGTTGGATGTGCAGCAAGTCATTGTGCATCCCCAAATGGCCTGGGGAAACAAGGAGGCAACGCGCTCGGTCGCAAAGTTCCAAGGACTACGAGTGCTTTAGAAAAACGAAATAGAGTAGCCAATCATAAAATTATGTTTAAGAAAGAAATTAAAAAGAGAAGAAAATCACAAAACGTACCAGAAGTAGGAAACATGCAAAAGTAGGTCTACAAAAAGTGCAATTAGAAAGGACTATAAGTATTAAAAGTCACCGTATACCCTGACTCAGTTTTCATGACGGAAAGCACAGGGAAAATACACACTCCAAAACTGTCCTGTGGTATTCAAACACAGGTCCCCGCAAGAATGAGATGCCAAAAGACAGGATGCCAGAACGTACAGTAAAAGGAACACATCGGCAGCACAACCCTCCGTCCACCCAAAGCAGCGAGCAGCTTTCCACCCACCGAGCGGGCGACCGCTCCTGGCCCCAGCAGGCCGGGAAGGAGGGGGCGTTGGGCCCTCGCCAGGCAGACGCAGGGGAAAACCCCGAAGACGAGCAAGGCCCGCCGGCCCCGGGAGCAGGGAGCTGCGAGGCGGCAGCAGCGGCAGGGACTCACCTTTCGATCAGCCCCTGCCCGACGCGGAAGCCCATACTCTCCAGCTTGGTGGTGCAACGGCCGGGTGCCTGCAAGACAACAGGCGCTAAAGATTGAAACTAAGTACTCAAGAACAAGACTTAACACTTGGACAATATAAAACTATGGAGGTTTTGTTAGCGTGCTTGAGAGACTTTGTCATATCTCCAATAGATGAAAGCTCCGGTATTTGGTACAGCGGAGCTCACAATACAGATTTCTTGTTAGAGGCACTATCTTGAGTCACTTGTTTCTATTTTCATTAAACCTGTAGGAACTTAATATCCTTCAAACAATTATTCCCAAGACTTGGCTGAAATTAGCAACTGGTATTAAAAGTCAGTGAAGGAGAAACAGTCCAAGACAGCATTCTTGCACAGGCCGCACCTTAGAATACAAGGGCCTGCAGATATTTAGAATATATGTTGCAAAACAGAAGAAACATCTCACCAAACACCAAAAAAAAAAAATCACAAGGACAGTAGTCTGCAACTGCGATGACTAAGAAGATCAAGAATTAAGAAACCAAAAATGGAACTGAATGCCCCATTTCTTACATCCACCTGAACCAAAGTGCTTTATAAGAGGCTCTGCAGAGGCACTGATTTTACTTACCTAAACTATTACCCTAACTCAGCACCTACACTCAAAACTATTTAATTGGTGGAAGATCTTTCTGAATGTTCATATAATCCCAGAAGCTTGTTCTAGGTAACAAATAGCATCTTCCAAATATGTTTTGGAAATTTTAAAAAAGCTTCTGAAAGCACATGCTTTTCAAAGAGAAAGAAAGAATTTGTGTGGTAGTGGCAGACCGGCTCCTACCATCAAGTAACTCAAACATGACAACAGCAAGTTTCACAACAACTACGACCATTTCTTGAACCATAAATCAAATCCACTGTTTTGAAACAAGGTGCATTTCTAAAAAGTACAGGTTTTGAAGACTGAACTTTAGCTGCCCTTTTGAACAGTTTGTATCCATTCAATTACAAAATTTAAAGTTATTATTAATAGATCAAGATAATTCAAATCAAACTGGTAGATCCCAAGGATAAAACTGAAGGGTACCTTTGGTGCATGTTCTAAATACTGCTTTCCTGCAGACATTTGTGTCAAGAGACGAAATTTATTGTCTTGAAGGACATAAATACCCTGTTTAAAAGAAAAAAAAGAAATTTTTTTAGTTGAATATGCAGTAGCATGTAATCAACGTTTTATGTGAAGGGATTTAATTTGTAGATACAATACAAATGTTCAGGTTGAAAAATGAAATTTTAGACTAAAGCATACGTGATTTAAGTTTAAACTGTATTATTTGCTTACGTGAAATATCAAAACAAAAGATACTTAATTGTGAGTTTACAACAAACCCCCTAGAAAATAGTATGATCAGTTAACCCTAAAAAATGTTTATTTACTTTCTTCTTGGAAGAGTCCTCCCAGTGCTCAGAAACAATAGTTCCATATTAGAAGGTCTTTGTTAATATATCAAATGCATGCTGACTTTTACATTCAAATCTTAATCTTCATTTGGTATGCAATTCACTATTCTTATTCTCAAATTCAGTGAGAATTATCTTCTTTAACAGCAATACAGGTAACAATACCCAGCAGATGATCAAATTAAAAGTCTAGTGTTTTCTACATTACAATTTTGTGCCACAATATGCATTTTAATAAATTAAGTATGAACACAGTATAGCTTAATCTACCCTTGTCATGTTAATTTCTTTGCTAATGACTGTGCTACTTTGGAACTTCATAACCCTTGAAATTAAATTAAGGCTGCATATACAATTGAGACCTAAGCTCAATACTGCAGCTTTCTTTGAATTCAAAAACAGATTTCGAAGGTAATTATTATCTGTTAAAGTTGTTACTTGATAAACAGCTCACTGAAAAATAAAACCTGTTTTATTTGGCACAATCCTTGTACAAATTCTCTTGCTCCTACTTTGATACAACAGGAAAATGGCCATAAGAAAACAGAGTCATTCAAAAGGAAAAAGATTTTTTTACTCTAATAAAATGACTCCTTAAATTATTTTGATCTTGCTTTAAGAACTGTGGCTGTTGATATAGGAAAGGACATAGATACAACGCAGTGTCACCAACATGCAAACCTGGGAAGTTTTTCAGCTGTTTCTTATACAAGTATACTTATACAAGTTATACTTATACAAGTATACTTATACAAGTAGAGTGCAATTAAGTGTCTCAACTGCTGAAAACTGTAAATATCCTTAAAAATAAAAAAATTACTTCAAGGCAGCCATTCTATTTAAATAGACGTTAAGACAGCAATATCACTTTCTCACACTAGTTTTCTACTAAAATTTATTGGGACATACATTAAAAAGTTCCTGTTTAAGTGTTAATCAACTGTAACCATTACTGTCCTGTCAGTTTGTAACTCTGCAACAGTGCATATGAAATTCAAAGCATTTAATCTTTTCAAATAGGGTGGCAATAAAGACATCACAAGCAATTATTAAATTGTATTCTGAAGCTACATGCTAACATGAACCTTAAAAACCTGCTTTTTAAACAAAACAAATAAAGAACATTTTGGGTTTCTTATCAGGTAATTAATTCTAGACCAAGAAAAACAAAAAATCTGCTAGTAACTCAAAACTGTTACTGATTTTGTAAGTTAAATATTATTCTACAGCATTAGTACCTGATGATTAGTCCTTAGGTTATCTATTTGTTTTTTGAATACAGTTGTCCAAAAATCTTTGCAAATGAACTTCATAATATCTAATTCATCCTTGAACCTGGCAGTATCTTTTGTAAACCTAAGAGATAAATAAGAAATATATCAATAATGCACAACTTGACCGATTAAACAGAAAAAGAAAATACAAAAAAATGGTACTATTCAACATTATTTTTGAAGCTGTTATAGAAATTAGCTTTCCAACCATTGTACAGTATCATTCTAGCATCACTGTGCGTTCATCAAGTATTTTAACTTAAGAGCAACACAGCGTTATCTTAATACCTGCAACATGACAGCAGAATAAATGGTTTTAATTATATGGTTATTAAAGACAGCTGAAGTACAGAAAGATGCAAAGCACTCGATCAGTTTTATCTTCAACTAAATGTCTAAATAGAAGATAAACAAAAAGCTCACACCTATACTACTGCTTGGAAGGAGTCCTTCAAATAAGCAAAAAAAGTACTAACACATAGGAACAAACATGTAAAACTCGTTCCCGTTTCCCAAAAAAGGACCTCTCTTGCTTATTTCAGAATTCTCTCCCTTTATCCTCCTTGAGGGTCTTTATCTGGCACTAAAGCACCACTTTGTTCAACGAAAGCATGGCTTCAGAAGCTGGAGAGCCTCCACGCGACCTCAGAACGAGGGCGCTGAAGTTGGATGTGCAGCAAGTCATTGTGCATCCCCAAATGGCCTGGGGAAACAAGGAGGCAACGCGCTCGGTCGCAAAGTTCCAAGGACTACGAGTGCTTTAGAAAAACGAAATAGAGTAGCCAATCATAAAATTATGTTTAAGAAAGAAATTAAAAAGAGAAGAAAATCACAAAACGTACCAGAAGTAGGAAACATGCAAAAGTAGGTCTACAAAAAGTGCAATTAGAAAGGACTATAAGTATTAAAAGTCACCGTATACCCTGACTCAGTTTTCATGACGGAAAGCACAGGGAAAATACACACTCCAAAACTGTCCTGTGGTATTCAAACACAGGTCCCCGCAAGAATGAGATGCCAAAAGACAGGATGCCAGAACGTACAGTAAAAGGAACACATCGGCAGCACAACCCTCCGTCCACCCAAAGCAGCGAGCAGCTTTCCACCCACCGAGCGGGCGACCGCTCCTGGCCCCAGCAGGCCGGGAAGGAGGGGGCGTTGGGCCCTCGCCAGGCAGACGCAGGGGAAAACCCCGAAGACGAGCAAGGCCCGCCGGCCCCGGGAGCAGGGAGCTGCGAGGCGGCAGCAGCGGCAGGGACTCACCTTTCGATCAGCCCCTGCCCGACGCGGAAGCCCATACTCTCCAGCTTGGTGGTGCCAGCGGCAGGCTCACCTTTCGATCAGCCCCTGCCCGACGCGGAAGCCCATACTCTCCAGCTTGGTGGTGCGCAGGCCGGGTGCCTGCAAGACAACAGGC